ATTTTGTGATAAGATACAGCCTGGCTCAACTACATTCAGTCTCTAGCTGGTGGCAGTAGCCTCACCATTATTTATTTTTTTTGAAGCCTCAGATCATAAATAGACCCATGCTTGTTGCATTTTCATCAGTTGGGGCTGACAGGGGAGAGAAAAGGACATTTCATTAACTTATTTTTCTTTCCATCATAAAGACTGCTTTATCAGGTCCCTGAAAGGCCTGGTGTCCACTTCCCCCAAAATACCCTGGCCTTCCTCAGTGCATCCCCAGGGGAGTGCCTATCCTGAAAGATACCATCCCTATGCCCCCACAACAAAGAAGTTTGCCCCTGCCTCTCCCATGCCCAAAGTGATACAATCTTTAAGGAAATAATTTCCTTGGATTTAGCAGGCACTCCCTAGGAGCCTAAGGGCTTGATTGAGGAGCAATCTTACTCAGTTACTTAGATTCATTTCCTGACAGAGAAATACCATTCCTTCTGCTGTCCCAGAGTCTAACTATCCAGTTAATAAACTTACAAGGTAGTCCTTTAAAAGGTTTTATGTGTGGGGAAGTAGTGCTGTGGCTCAGTGGTAGAGCGCTAGCCTTGAGCTGAAGAGCTGAGGGGTAGGGCCCAAGCCCAGAGTTCAAGCTCACAACCAAAAATATAAAACTAAATAAATAAAAGATTTTATGTGAGTTGGAGGTGTGGCTCAGGTAGTAAAACACCTCCTATTCAAGCACAGGATCCTCAGTTCCAACCCTTTAGGCTGAGCCTAAGGATCACAGTTGGAAAACAGCCCAGGCAGGAAAGTCTGTGAGATGGGAGACTCTTATCTCCAATTAGCCACCAAGATACTAGAAGTAGAACTGTGGCTCAAGTGGTAGAAAGCCAGCCTTGAGCAAAAGAGCTAAAGAATAGTTCCAAAGCCAAGTTCAAGTCCCAGTACTTGCACAAAAAAAGAACAAGGAAAGCAAATCTCACATCATTCAATCACATCCTGTACTGACCTCAAGATGATTATTCATCTCTATTTCTCTTCCAGTTTTTTCCCTCTGTTGGAAAAAAGCAACATGTTAGGATTCTAGCATCTTGGACTGCTATTTTCTCAGCCAGGGAAGAGACTTTTTCAAATTCTAAGTCTTTCACAATGTGTAACACTCTTATCTGCAACCAACTGGGCATCAGTGGCCAACTGAATTAACGAATGGCCATCCCACTGCTGCAGCCAGGCACTGCCTTTCCTTTCTACACTGGCATAAGTAGCATTCTGCAATCAATAGTTCCAAAATCAACAGTAATTCTGGAATCTACCCATATTCACTCAGTGGGCCACAAGCATTCAATGCATCAGTAGCCCTTCCCACGTGGAATTAAATGGGGAAACTGAGATTTTTCTTGTTCCTTGTCCATATCCTTAGTCTTTGGGCTATCTCACTGTTTTTGAACAACCCAGTTTCAGTGTCTGAAGGCTGTCTCAAATGTCCTGCAACCAAAGAAGAGGCAGATCTAGGATTGCAGAGTGAAATTTAGTGGGACTTACTGAGCTTGCATTCAGATAGTGGCTAAACCAGGTGGATCCTTTGAGTCAGAAAGATAGGAGCTTCTACACAGGCACATCCCTGATGCCAGTGTCTTGTTTATAAAAAGGTCTACGCTACACTCGTGTATTTATGGCATACTTGAAATTATGCAGGGGAAAGCAACCAGATTTATTCAGGGACAGTCATGAGAGTTACAACTGTAGCTGGCTGGAGTCCAGATGAACCCACTCCTAGTTCTATTGTTGTAAACTCACATTAGAAAAAAAAAATGGCATAAGGAATGCACAGAATTTTTTCTATTTAAATGATTGGGTTTATAGCTCGATCGATCAATCAATCAATCGATAGATAGATGAATTTAGACGAAATGTTTCTGATGTTTCATTTCTCCTCACTAACAATTCAAGTCTTGGCCTGTTATTTCCAAAGCAGAAAAAAAAATAGAGTATCCAGATAAACAAAAGATTAAATACCCTTTTGTCAAACTGTTTCATGACTTTGTTAGACCAAGTAAAATAGTTATCAAGCAGTGATGGATGGCTTTTTGAGGTTTACAGAATACTTTTAGTACTTGATACTTGCTCATTTCCTAGGTTTTCAACTTGTACACAAGCTATCTAACCATAGCCCCTGTCAAGGTTGCTTAGAGCGACTCCAGTTCCTCCAAATATAAATAGATGCTCCCCCATGATGCCATGAATTAACCAGGACCCTATCTCCTTTACTTGGGGTTACTGATTTTTGGGGACATTGAGTAAATATAAAAAGAGGACATACAATGCTGAGCATTTGCAGACCAAGTAAAACAGTCTGGCACTGGGTTATCCAGTTCCCACATCACCTGGAAGACTTCCAATAGTTCCTTTTGTGGTTAGGATGACCACTTAATGCCTATTGTCTTAATGTGACTGTACTCTCTTTCAAACTAGTGTATCAGTTTGGACAATCCATCTGTCAAATCCACTCACTTTTCTGCCATCAGAGCCTGTGTTCTGCTTTGCCTCTCTCAGTGCCCTCATCCTAGTTCTTCTGTTTAGCCTATTAACTTCTGTGTCCTTGGCTTTGCTCATCTTAAATCTTAGCTCAGAAACTTGTCTTCTCCCCTCATCTGTCACTCAGTTTCATTCCTTCAAAATCATCCATCTACCTCTAGTTCATCTTTTACAATAAACATTAGACCCAAACAATGCTGAGTCTACTAGTGTGCTGAGACTGGCACACCAGAAAGGCACCTGTCTTTAAAGAATCTGATCTAGGCCCCAATTCTCTAGGATTCTCCCAGACTTAACACAACCAACTTCTCACAGAAATGGCTCAAAACAGTCAAACCAAGCTCCTACATAAGGGGCTCAGCTATCTTCCCAGAGCTCCATAGGAAATTCTCAAACACCCACATTGGGTACTCCTGGCAGACAACCTGCCTGCCAGCTCACTTAGTTCTTAAAACTTCCAGAACAGTAACACATTGTAGCAGTTTGGAGCAGAGGAAGCTGAAAAATCACCTATCAGGGTTTAAATCCAGTTTTCAAACATACTAAATAATCTGAGGAGTTACTGAAGCTCCCTGTGCTCCAATGTTTTCTGTAAAAAATATACTTAGCTTCATAACTGTGGTAAATGTTTACCAAGTAAATATGTAAAGCACTTAGATTAGTGTATAGTACAGAAATTGCTTTTAAAATGTTAGTGGTGATTAGATATTTTCTAGACAATAATCCCAAGGTGACACACCACTTGTGCTGAGATCTAAATCCAGATTTTCTGAATCTAAACTCAACAAACTGTGACACGAGTATCCAACTGCCCTCCTGTATGTTATAAAATGCAGTACAGCTGGCTGAGGAATATATGCAAGTACTTCATTTTGTAATAGAAGCTATATTTGCAGCTGCCTGACAACCCAATGTAGATCTAAAGAGGAAAAATAGATATATTGGTGATTCAAGTATCACCCGTGTAAAGGAAAATGGGTCTCAAATCCAACTTTATAACGATTAAATTTCTTCCATGTTTTCTTAAAAGATTGTTAATTTTTACTCAAAAATAAAACAGGTATCAGTTTTTAAATATGGCACTAGATTTGAAAAGCTTAGTCTACTTTCTATTTTAACCATTATTACCAACCCCCCATTCCATCCTTAGTGAGTTCCTCAGCATCTGCCACACCAGTGCAAGGAATCTGGGGAAGCATCCATGTTATCTTCCTTCAAAACACCCCAAGTCCTATTTCCCAACTGCCTTCTCCTCATTTGAAATATGCCTATTTTTGCCAAAATAGAAAAAATACACAAGGATTTTGGAAATCTAAATTATGGGCCTATTATTTATTACAGGAATTAATGTCATGTGTGTTCCTCGGTCCAAAAAAAATTCATATTTTCATGGTCCTTTGCAATTCTTTAATATTTACTTTCACAGTAATATTGCCCTTAGGCAAGAGCATTATGTTCATTTTTTAGAAATTCAATCCCAAAGAGGTTGCACAACCTAGCCATGATTTTAGTTAGTAATACACTGAGCTAACTTCAATATAGTCTAACTCAAGGTCCCAGCACGGGTTTATACTGGGCTCCGAGGTTTAAGTGAATGAAGCTCTGTAATTTCCCAGTTCTCTTCCGAAGGTATTTTAAGGCTTTACTTGCCTTTCTTCTAACTAGCATGAAAAATCAGAAAATATATTATTTGATCATCCACTCAATTTCACTTATCCTGGGGTACTTTGTGTTTTGGTTTTTCTCTTTTTGGTGCTTGACTGGGACTTCAACTCAGGGCTAGGCATTCTCTCTTAGCTTATTCACTTAAGGCTAGTATTATTACTACAGCTGTAACTCCACTTCTAGATTTGCTGGTTTTAACTGGAGATAGGAGTCTCACAGATTTTCATGCCTGGACTGTTTTGAACCTTGATCCTCCTGAGTAGCTAGTGTTACAGGAGTGAGCCACCAATGCCCAGCTGAAAAAGTTATTTTTAATGTGTCCAGTACTTACAGCTTCTTTCATCACTTTTGAATTTATCTTTATCAGAGATTGCTTTCATTTTATAAGCACCAGTTTAACTTTAAAATGTTATTCCATACTCATTACCAATTCAAAGTAAAAGAAATCCTTGTTAATTCTGATTGCTAAGTAGTAACAAAAAATGTTTTTGGTTTTTTTTTTTGTCGGTTGTGGGGCCTGGGCACTGTCCCTCAGCTCTTCAGCTCAAGGCTAGTGCTCTACCACTTGAGCCACACCATCACTTCAGGCTTTTTCTGCTTATGTGGTGCTGAGAAACTGAATCCAGGGCCTCATGCAAGCAAGGCAAGCACTCTACCACTGAGCCACCTTCCCAGTACCCCTTCCTCACCCCCCCCCCCCCCGACCCCACACACAAGTATATTTTCTATCCAGTCTCCTCACTGTCTTTATTTGGGAAATTATATTGTTCTGTATCACTGTCGAAGGCCTCTTTCCCTAACAAGAAAACATTACATTTGTATAGGAGTCAAGAAAGCTCTTATTTTAAAACCCCACAACAAAGTAATTCATCACCTTAAGTGGAAGGAAATCCTTTGAATTTTAAATGTGGAATTCTGGCTACTTGATTTGATACATATGCCTACAACGACACATTCTCTTTAATTTACAGTAATTTTATAGATGTGATTAGCCATGCTAATGTATACACAGAACTAGTACATAAATCAAATTAACGTTTATAACAAAATATACCCTAGGAACAAATCCTAGAAACTGAACTCAATAGTGTCTTCTCAGACTTGGGAGCATGAGACACACTGTGACTGGTACAATTTAGTAGGCTGAACAGAAGGGATAAACAGCATAGAGCTATAAAAAGTCATTTTGTGATGTTCTTACTTTGATTGTAGTGCTTTCTTATTTTCTGGAGAAAAGACTTCAAAAGTAACAAAATATCTGAGAAGGGAATTTACATCATTCAGTTCTAAGTAGTATTCTTGTGCTATTTTCTCAGCAGTCCACGTTTCTGGATAAAGTTTATGATTATTGAGAAGTGTCAGTGCTTCTACAATGGAAATTTTGCCTTTAGGAATGCTGGTGACATTCATTTCTGAGTGATGGTCTTTCGGCATTCTGAACTCCTTTGGCACTGGCTTTGGTTGAACATTTTTTACCTAGAATCCAAAACAAAGCGTGAGGGGTACGAGACAAAAACCTTATTATCTAGGCAGTTCTCTTCAAATGCATACTGCACATACTGCATTTTCTCATTATAACCAGCCATATGGTAGGGACACTTTTACCACGTTCCTTTTCATAAATACAGCTCAGCAGCAGGAAGAAATTTCAGTAGTTCCAGAAAATAATTATCAACATTCAAATGACTCATTTACCACAGTTTCAATATAAAGATTAAACAACCTAATCTAAAAACCTGAATTACTCTAAAATCCCAAACTCTTATGGAACATCATCCAAAAGATGTCCCCAACATCCTGTATTAAGTCTGTCAAAATGCAGATATACTAAAAATACTGGATAAAATTACCTTCAAGTTGTATGGATAAGATATATATGAAAAAAATTAATTTCACATTATACTTTGGTCCTATCCCCATAGAATCTCTTTATACATATTCAAATATTCAAAAATGCAAAACAATCCCAAGCACTTCAGATAAGGAAAAGTTGTATGTTAAAAGTTGTATATCAAAACAAGAATCAATCTGATTAAAATTGCACCTGTTTAAGGGCAGAATTGTGATGACACTTAACAGCTTAAGTATTTGAAAGTTCCTGTTTTATATGAGAAAGCACTTCCAATATTCCACATAAAGAAAACAAAGAAGTGGCACTGTGGCTCAAAGGGTAGAGTGCTAGCCTTGAGCAAAAGAAGTTCAGGGGCAGCACCTAGGCACTGAGTTCAAAGCCCACAACCGACAAAAACAACAACCTCAACAACTTTTTTTTTAATTTTTATTATCTTTAAGTGGTTGTACAAAGAAGTTCCCATTCTACAAAACAGTATATGAGTACAAAGTCTCTGATAACACTGTCTCCTATTGCTCCTACAATTTAATACACATTCATCATTCCATCTGTCTATCCCAAGATTAATCCCTGACTTTGTGTTGAATATTCCATATAGGTACTAAAGTTGCTTTTACTGAGGAACACTGACTTCTTACTGGGGCCCACAAATTAAAGGAAGGCTGATTAAAAGCTAGACATCCTTTCCACTTCTGATCTGTGCTCTGAACCATTTTCTCCTCTATCTACCTTATATTCTAGGAGGGATAGGACTGAGTGATAATTATGCCTACCTCTCCTCAAAGAAACCAAATACTCTTCTCCCTGTGGGAGAAGGACTATCAACCAAGATAAAACAGTTTCAGGGATGTGGTGTCAGCAAACATGGAGTTAAGAGGCCAATGCCTGGTCTGGGACATGCACTGCATCAAGTACCTTGAAGCTGAGTTCTTGAGTTTCTCTTAAATATCAAATATTGTTCCTCAGAAGTAGTACTGTGCTGCTGGGATGCAGCTCCGAGGTAAAGAGCTTGCCTAACTTGCACAAGACCCTGGGTTTCATCCCCAGCACCAACAAGTACCAAATGAACAAACAAACACAAACAGTAGGACTGTGACACTGAGGCAGTAATCCATACAGTAAATCTTTACTCACTCTTTCCTCAAAACTCAGTTCTGTTATTTGTAGGCTGGCATTGAGTTCAGGGGGCCAAATTCCTGGTAATACATTTTCATGACCTAACTCATTCCAATTATTACCTTTACCTTTTCTTTGCAACTTCACCCTGCCCATGCTTCCTTTTAGCTAACATATAAAAGTCTATGGCTGGGTTGGGAAGGTGGGTCAGTGGTAGAGTACTTGCCTTGCATGCATCATGAGGCCCTGGGTTCAATTCCTCAGCACCACATAAGCAGAAAAAGCCAGAAGTGGAGCTGTAGCTCAAGTGGTAGAGCACTAGCCTTGAGCTGAAGAGCTCAGGGGACAGCACCCAAGCCTCATAACCGGCCAAAAAAAAAAAAAAAATAGCTCAAATATAGAGTACCTGAGTAGAAAATGTGAATCTAAATTTAAACCCTGTGTCACCATAAAACCAAAAGCGAAACAAATCAAACAAACAACAACAAAAAATATAAAAAAAAAAACTTGTACTAATCTTTTTTTAAGTTGACATATATTAAGCTAGACATAATAATGTAGTAATTGCTTCTTTAAAACTCCAAAACTCAAAACAAACACCCATTTTGAGCAATTTCATATCGTGTAGTAAAGGTTTATGAGATAATAATATTTACTATCACTCACTAATCATCTCCTATTCATTTAATTCAGATGGCGTCACTCTGAAGACCTTATGTGAACTTAACACAGTATTTCCCTATAGCTAATGCTGTGGACCACATCTATACAGCTGTGACTTTCTTCCCCACTGGATTCCATGCTATGCCTTTCTTGGTTTTCCATCTCTTCCTGCAGGAGTTCCTTCACATTCTTATGGACCTGGGCCTCTGTTGTCTTTTGAATGTTATTATGTCCTAAGTTCTAGCAAAACCCTCTTCTCACTTTAGGAATCCCTTACACTTGCCTACCTTTCACCACAGCCAACACATTAAATCTTCCAAATATGTGATCTCAAGCCAAGACCTTTTATTTTTTCTGATCTCAGGTCCAAACTTGGATGCACCTCCATACACTTCAAATTTCCTATGTCTAAAATTGAACCTACTAATTCTACCCCCTCACAAATTTCATGCCTAAAACCAGATTAAATCTGGCATATATCTCCCTCTCCTAAGTCTTTCTCCTTGTTTGATCACTAAATTCCTTTAGTCCATGTTATATTTATGCAGAGACTGTTTTCCAAAAGCATCACTCTCTCCTATCTACATGCTTCAAACACATATTTTACTTCTCCCTCTTGTAAACATTATACTAAAAACACTATTTGAGATGTTTCTTGTTATAGAGAGATAACAGATAATTTTAAAATGCAAAAAAAAAAAAAACCTCAATTGTGGTTGGCCTTCCTTGCTCATTGATCAAACTCTTCTTTCTACTTAGTACTTTCCAGACCTCACAAACCCCAATTCATCCTTCAATCCTTAGAAGTATTCATCCGCATCTACCAATTTCAAGTAAGTCCCTGTGGTAAAGTTTTCAGTGTCAATAATTGTGCATTTACAGGTGCATGGCAGATCATATATTTAATGTCTGTGTCTCACACACAACATTGACAGTCCAATAAGAGGAAGGACAAGGCCTGTTTTGTTCATGGCTATACATGTAAAGCACTTGTCCCTGGCATTCTAACTTGTTATATGTACTTGCAATACTTATCAGATGAATTCCCACTCTAAATATAATCTGATTTTAATTTACATATCAGATCTGAATACATCCTTAAAAATGAAAAAAAACTCACAAACCCAACATTAGAAATCCTGAAATAAGAACATGATTTCAATCTAGAAAATAGGGTACTAGTGGTTATTTTTTGTCACACAAATGTTAACCACTAGAAATGCCTTAATCATGTACTGCAAAGTCTGAAATAATATTTAAAAAAATGCACAGTGGAGCATTCAATCAATACTTTCTCTAGTCTTAGAATTCCAGTAATCACCCAATGAAACAAGGCCTTGCCTAGACCACTGTGCTTTAGCTTAACCTCTGCCAACAGCTACAACTACACTGACATTTATTTTTGCACTGGCAAAGTACTCAAAAAAGTATGTTCTTTATCTACTTAATTAAAGCACACATTACCTTCAGGGAAGACACGGGATCTCTGGAATCAACGTATATATCTTTCAAAAATGAGTGCAGCTTGTTATCCTTGTTAGTAACTTCTCGTTCAATTTCTGGATGATCTAAAGAAAGGGCACCACCAACACACACACAAACACACACAATTAAAAAGGAAAAAAAAAAAACTCTTAACAAAACTCATATACTTTACAAGAAAAGACAATCATCTGGACAGTTCCGAGACTATTTTTTTAAGTGAAGGGAATCAGCTGGGTGCCACTGGCTCACATCTGTCATCCTAGCTACTCAAGAGGCTGGGCTATAAGGGCAGCGGTTCGAAGCCAGCCTGGGCAGGAACGTCCGTGAGCCAAAGCCTGAAAGTGGAGCTGCGGCTTAAAAAAAAAAAAACAAAATGATAGGGACAGCGCCCAGGCACTGAGTTCTGGACCAAGAACCAGCATCACCACCACCCCCCTGGAGAGAAATTAATAATAATAATAATAATCAACAGCAGGCCGGCCCGGCATGCAGCCGGTGAGATCACCGGGGGAGGGGGGGGCAAAAACTGCGCTGCTCACGATCCTCGAGGTTCGGACTCCCAGTTCCAGGGTCACCAAACACCCACGCCAACCAAGGTCGGCGGGGCGCGGCCGCCACCGCGGAGCGGGCCGCATGACGTCACCTGCCGGCCGGAGGCCCCGCCCCCCTCGCGCTCGGCGCCAGCCGCGGGCCTCCCCCCGGCCTCGGCCTCCCCGGAGCCCGCGCCCCCGACGCCCCGGGCTCCGCGGCCCCCACTCACGGCTCATCTGCTCCACCAGGAGCTTCTTGGTGGAAGGGTGTCTGGGAGCCGAGGAGGGCTTCCTCTTGCTGATCTCCCGTTCCGCCCGGTTCTCCAGGTTGAAATTCCTGAGGGCGCGGAACACCGAAGCCCCCATCTCTTCAGAGCATGGTGACCTCGGGGCTCGCGGCGCACCGGCGTGAGTGACCTCCGGAAGCAGGGAGCATGCGCACGTCAGAGCGGAACGCGCGCTGGACCGGAACACTCAAATTCCCGCTCATCGCCCTCCGGCGGTTGGGAGGCTGCAACACTGGGGTGGTAAAAGAAGCGCTTCCTGCCCGATGTAGGACTCCTCCAATCAGAGGCTGTGCCCGCGAGCGAGGGGCGGGGCCTAGGCTGCGGACGTTGGGCGGTCTGGGAGGCGGAGCTACAAACCATGGCCGGGATGCTCGCCCATGCACCCCGCCCCACTGGGGGCGGAGTTCAGCCGGCCTGTCATTGGTTACTGCTTCCCACGTGACCCCAGTGACCTCCGACTTGACCCAGCCCCAGGTAGGTTTGGAGATGTTTCACAGACCTGCATTCACCCTTGCCCGCTTCTACGAGAGGAAACGAAGGAAGCCTTGTGCATTCTCCGTGAATATTTGTTCTCCGCCACGGACTTTACAGCATCCTTCATCTTCCTGGTGCGTCAGCCAGCCGCCTTCTTCTTTCTCCATGACCGTTGTGGGGGTGTGTGCAGATCCTGAACTCAGGATCTCCTGGTGGTTAGTTGGAGATAAGAGTCTCGCAGACCCCCCTGCCCAGGCTGGCTTCGAACCTCGTTCCTCCCGTCTCAGTCTCCTGAGTAGCTCGGATTTACAGGCTTGTGCCACCGGCGGCACCCAGCTCGTGTTCCCTCTTATTTTCTCTAGAGTTGTGAATATTAGTTACACTTTCCATTACCTACTTTTATTTCAAATTTATTTCCCCATATAAACGAGTCCATCTCCCTCTTCTTCCTCCCAACTTTCTTCCAGCCTTTCCTTCCCATACTCTCCATCGCTGGACGAGTTTCTGTGATGCTGAGTTTAAGGTTCTTTAGAAATGCTGAGATTAGTCCACAAAAAATGAAAGAGAAGCGCTAGGAAGGAAGCAGTAGCTTTGACATTTAGCATATCTTTTTACAGACTGGCTGCAAGGTCTTTTAGTGGTTTCAGCTTTGCTGCGTGAAGTAGATCGGTTGTTTTGTAAACCAGGTTAAATAAAAGGAATAGATACAGAGATAACTGAATCAACGTAAAAACCTCAAGAAATAGACAATTGGATTCAAAGCTGATGTCATTAAATATAAATGCTTAATCATAGCAAAAGCATAAGGAAGAACAGTTTCTAATAGATTCTTCTGAAATTATAGAAACGAAGTGTTTTCTCATAGTTAGTTGGTAAGATATCCTGAAGGTGGCAGGCTGATTCAAGATTTCTTTCTTTCAGAATAGTCATAATTCTGTGCTCTTTAACCGATTTCTATTGTCAAGACACTTGTCATCTGCTTCGTTGTTTCAAAATGTACTTCAACACAGTGGGGGTGGCAATTCCACTCACTGCTTGTTAACATTTTAAAAGTAAAAATCTTATTTTCATAGAAAATATGGCAGCATGAAGCAGTAATGTGAGACAGAAGCTAGAGTGGATATTACAAAGTGAAAAATTCTTGAGTTCCTACTTTCAGTCAGAGTGTGATTTCCCATTTAAAAGCATATCTAATGTGAGCCAGCTGTTTGACCTGGCACTGGGCTGGCCCTGCTCAGGCCCTCAAACAGCAAAACAGGGCACTGAGGTACTTCATCAGAAGTGTATAATGGGTGGACATTCCATTAGGGAAATGGAACCTGAACAATACTTGCACAATCCCAGTTCCCATGTCAAAGCATATAAATTAACAGGGAGTCTAAATTTAAGAACTTTTATAAGGTCTGTGGAAAAAGTCGAAATCAGATCCCCATGGAAAGTATAAGATGTTCAGAAATAAACTTTCTATCTGGGTGGTGTGTTATTATAAATGTTTGTAGATTAGTCTCTTAAGAGAATATAAATATTTTGAGGACAAAATTTTGGGCCCCTGCTGGATTCAACACATGAAAGTGTGCTCTAGTACAAAGTAGATAGAAAATAAATATCAAATGTCAAATGAAAAGACAAGTAGGAAGCCTGGCCCTGGATAGGTAGGTGGTCTATGTTTGAATATTTCTAGAAGTGAGTCCTCTGAAAGTTCTTTTTCTTTTGCAGGGGCAGGGGGGAAGGGGAAGGTCTGGTTGTAGGTTCTGAACTCTCGGCCTGGGCACTGTCCCTCAGCTCTTCAGCTCAAGGCTAGCACTCTACCACTTGAGCCACAGCACCACTTCTGGCTTTTTTCTTTTTGCTTATGTGGTGCTGAGGAATCGAACCCAGGGCCTCAGGCATGCAAGGCAAGCGCTCTACCACTGAGCCACCTTCCCAGCCCTCTGAAAGTTCTTTAATCTGATTGACTTAATCTTGTTGGAACTACTTTTCTGTTTTCTGGAGGTACTGGTGTTTGAACTCAGGTCCTTGCACTTACAAGGCAAGTACTCTCCCATTTGAGCCAGGCCCTAAGCCCTTTGGTGCCTTAGTTCTTTTTTTTTTTTTTTTTTTTTTGCCAGTCCTGGGATTTGAACTCAGGGCCTGGGCACTGTCCCTGAGCTTCTTTTGCTCAAGGCTAGCACTCTACCCCTTGAGCCACAGTGTCACTTCTGGCTTTTTCTGTGTATATGGTACTGAGGACTCAAACCCAGGGCTTCATGCATGCTAGGCAAGCACTCTACCACTGAGCCACATTCCCAGTCCGGACTTAGTTCTTTTTCAGATAAAATCTCCCATGTTTGTTCCGGGAAGACTGGGGCTAATTTGCATATGCGGTACCTCCCATATACCTGGGATTACAGGAGTGGATCACAGCACCCAACCTACTTATCTTGAAATTGGATTGATAGTAATTGCCTAATGCATATTACACAGATTAATAGTTTTAAATGTCTAATATGGTCTTAGAAAATAATATTCAATATTTTCATTGCCTTCCATCTTCCACAGAGGCAAGCGGAAGTTTGAAAAAGAACAAAAATATACTTTAGTTATAGCATATAAATGAAAGGATAAAATGATTATTTGAAAATTAAGAATTATTATTCAAGCATTGAATTCATATATTGGTAATATCTGTATCTATAGGCATATATATTTATATATATATATATGATCAATTTTAATTGCTGATTAGCAGACTTTGTGGTGGCATTATTGAGCTATTAAAGTTGAGGTATCATGTTGGGGGCATAAAATCATAAATGCCACCTCTGTTTTCCTTAACATTAGCTGCACTAATAACTCCTGGCCAGTCTCCTCAAGTCTCTCCTCCATCCCGTTTATTCTTTCTCACTCTGTCTAGACTGGTACCATTGTACACTCATTCCTTTTAACACATAATTCAAAGCAGTCTGTGACTGCAGACACTGGAAGACAAGTGACTCAGAGAGCCCAGAACAAGGCCCCGGGGTCACTGAGAAACCCTAACCACAGTGGGCAGGGCAAAAGATGTACAGAGTAATGACACCTTGGCAGAAGTGTTTGGTGTTCAGAGAGAATGTCTCCACAGTCTGGACTCCAGATGAGGAGCAAGGGGATGTTAAGACTTCAAGTAAAGAACAAAGTTCCCAAGCTTGGTGCATTTCATAGTAATGAAGTGCTGTATGTTTCTGAAAAGTACATTCGTGGGGTACCTCTAACCAAAACACTCAGGATTTGTGCAGATCCAGTTCTCAAATTGAGAAATACTAGAGGCTCAAGATTAGAATTATTAGTTAGCAGTTACACACAAATGTAACACTGTTGACTTTTGTCATTGTATTAGTTTCCCATTGTTGTTGACAAGTTATCACAAAAAAATGGCTTAAAGCAACAATTATCTTACAGTTCTAGAAATCAGAAATCCAAAATATATCTGGTAAGATAAAAAAAATAAATGTGCTGGGAAAGTTGTGTGTCTCCTGGAAACTACAGGAAAATAGCTTTTCTTGTATTTCTCTGCTTCTAGAAACTGCCTGCATATTTTGGTAGCTGGATACTGCATCACTTCAATGTTAGGTTTCATTCTCTGAAGTATGACTCTCTTGCCCTCTTCTTTTCCCTTTTATTCCTTAGTGATTATTTCATGCTTCTCTTGGTAAACTAAGGTAGTCTATTTGTTGAAATAACCTCAATTTAATCACATGCACAAAATGCTTTTTTTCCATTTAGGATGACAATTCATAGATTTAAGGAATAGGAGACAAACATCTCTAGGAGACTATTTTTCTGTCCACTGTACTTATCCCCTCAGAATATCCACATCTAACAGTGCAGCTATGATCAGTTCAGTAAAACAGAATGCTTGAGTGCCTACTATGCTTCATTCAACCTCATGGACCTTACGTTCCTTCCTTGTATTCACCTTTAGAAAGCAGGTACTCCTAGGGAAGGCAATCCATTTGTGGCCTATTAATTCTCTGGACTCAAGCTAGAAAACAGCTGTCTGAAAAGGGGGAGAAAGGAATGAGCAGAGCAAATGTCAATGGGAAACAAAAGAAATAAGAAAGAAGGAAAGAAAAGAGCAAGAGTGCCGTGTCCCAGGCAGAGAGGGAACACATATGTCTCCATCCCCAACTCCCCTTCCAGCAGTTTCTTCTCTTGCTACTTAATTGTGTGAACTATAGTGAACGATTTTGAAAGAACTTTTTAAAACCTGTGGACCAGCTAAAGCAATACTGAAAGAAAATACGTGTATATTAAATATTTTGTATATATATGCATAGTAAATGTAACTCAGAAAACTAGAAATATGGAAGATACATGGAATTAATATAGTGACATGCATAATGAAATCACCAAAGAAACATAGGTCTCATAGTTTCTCTTATTTGCAATAACTAGTCTATGTCTGAGTCAAGCAGAAAAGGTCAGATAAGTTGATGTTAGTGGAATGAACCCCAAGATAAGTATTCAAATGTTTTTTTGGTTTTTTTTCCTTTCATGAAATTGTTTCTATCATATTTATAAGATGACTTCTATGTTGCTTTGTATGTCCCTCCCCCACAGTATAACCCATACTTTCATTGTATTTGATGTTGGTATAATTTTTGGAGGGGAAGGGGAAAAAACAAATCGTTTAACTAGGGATACAGGTAGACCCATTGCAACAA